GTGTGATTTTCACCGCAGTCGCTAAATTTTTTAGACTGAGGTGTTGTTTTAGGTTACATACAGTCTTTTGAAGTGTGCAAATCTCCAAAAATAACACATATACTTTGTAAAGCGAAATATCGCTTCGTATGGCCAAATACTTGACAATTATGGCACTGAACAAGACCTGTTCGCTTATGTGGTTCTTCAAAGGAAATACCACAGTACCACTTTATATTTCCGAGGGACTTACACTGTGTTCAATGCCCTTTAGGATGTCTGCTAAGATGCGAATACTTTTGAGCTGTAAGGTATAGAAGGACTTCTTTTCGCGAAATTACTTGATACCTTGAGATAGCTATCTTCTACGTAGGTTTGCACTATTACTTCCTGGATATTGTCCTTTTTAATTGGGACTACATGGAAGTTATTTTTTGTTGACAAGGTTGCTAGAGTTCGCTTCTCTACGGTATACTGGCGGCGGCTTGGACATTTTCTGCACACCCACTAGATCACCAGCACCAGAAACCAATTGAAATCGATTATTGTTCATGTTGTCTTTATCTCTTGTAGTTTTTACAATTTTGATTTGATTTTGTTTACTATTTATTGGGGTGACCGTTTCCTTTTTTACAAGAATGTAGCGATCGATTCCCGTTTGAATTACTGCTTTCTTTGCAGCGCTATTTGCGGAAAAGTCTTGCGTTTCGTCTCTAGAAGGAGCTGGAGGAGTTGCGGTAAGGAGCGATTGAGCCCATGAAGGGGCTGGTAAAGTAGTCATAGAAGGGAAGAGCAGAAGGCTCATTTTCCAATCGTTGTGTTCGCTGTTGGTGTTGTTGTTGTGGCGCTTGTTGTTGCTGTTGGCTTTGGTTAACGTTTCCACGTTGTGGTGACCGATTTGATCTCTTTTTTGCAAAATGACCAATTTAGTCCAAAAAAACAGGGTATTTTGCAACACAGTTTTTGGCAACTCTAATTTGGAAACGGCACAAGGAAATGCAAATTTTCCTGCAAACTTTTAGGCGCCTTTCTTAAATACCTGAGCTTTTTATATATTTTTTATTATTATTATTATATAATATATTTGTCTCTGTTCACCTAGTTTCACTCATCATTTTCACGATAACGATAATCAGCATCAGACCGCTTTAAAATGTTAACTGGACCGCGTTCACTAAATTTACCGAGAATGCATTTAGTGCTCTCCACTCCATCAAAAGCCACTTCCGGTGAATGTTTATTCCGCAGGGTTGTCGTAACCTCTGCCGCCCGCTTCATCACGACAGCCGGTTCTACACACCGTGGTTGACCCGGATTTTATCAGGCCAAAGGCTGTCACCCTTTCGGCAAGATATTGGGAGTCATATTTGACAGCCTGCACTCTTTCACTCCGCACTCAGGACGAGTTAAGGAGCATAACAGCCAATAGGCATCTTATTGATGCTGAACCTCCACCTAGGTACATCAGAAAGGGAGTACTAGACTTAAAAGACACCATTCAGTAACACGTTTAACAACCGCTGAACAGGACATCGTACAGACAGGTCCTGTACGCTCTTCATCAGGAATTAATTAACTTCTTCAAAAACTCCTTTTCTGTAAAAGGCGTACTCGAGTTGCGGCAACTTAGATCTGGATAACTGAAGCCGGTTAAGCCCCTACTTATTCAGACTCGACTACAACATCCCCAATGTTTGTCCTGCATGTATAGAGACTCCACACGACACTAAGCACATCTATCCCCCTCCTGTTCCTAAGCCGGGTTAGTGAACAATTTTTGTATGTTTTTTTCTTTTTATTAAATAAAACGGCTGCGGTAGCCGAGCGGTTTGCGTAGCGTACTGGCATTCAGAAGGTTCGGGTTCAAATCTCCGTGCGACTAACATCCAAAAGTTATAGAATGTGTATTTAAATATAAAATTAAGTTACATTTTCAAATTGCGGTCGCACTCCGAGTGTATTTCGGACATAAAATAAAGCTCCTCATAAAAAAACCATCAGTCATTCGAAAGCGGCTTAGTATAAACTTTAGGTCCCTTCATTTGTTGGGAGACGCATTGAGTAAAGGTGGTTTACATTTATCATGCTCAGGGCAATGATCATGGCCCATAATTTTTTGTTGTGATAGGACCTTTTTTACCATCTCCGGTTAAGCACTTAATCATAACTTGAATGGAAGTTACCATAAAAATACGTTTTCACAATGTCCGGTTAAGGCGCAATTAAGTTGCGGCTAACTTGATGATTAGCTCTTAACCAGAAGATAATTTGACAGTTGAAAGTAAAATTAGACGCCGCATTGAAAGGTTTGTGAAAATAAAGTTCTTTGGGTAAATAAATATTGTTGATAATTTATTTGATTTTGCAAGAATAAGGCAGCGGAAATTTTGCGGTTAACAACGTGTTTATCCATCGGGAAGAGTTTTAATTTGTGTTCCGGTGTTGGACGCAATAAAAGTGGTGACTGCCAGTCGGGAGGTAATTAGTATCCATTGCCACCACGACACTTGTCCGATCGTTCCTCAGAATACCAAAAAAAATACCAGCTGTCATGCAGTGTTGATGTATTCACATCGCAATTTTTTATGAATTTACCTTAAAATAACAAACTAACCAAAAGTTAAGTAGCCAGAACGTGGTGAAAACGAAAATATCACATCAGTCTATCTGACGGTTAGCTATCCTCCGGTTAAAGGTTAAGTTAGTCGGACATTGTGAAGTCGGGCCTTATGCTGCAACTACCCAACTCACGTCCATTGCTACCTATCTTATGACAGCGCCATGTAAACACAAAGTTGGTGACGGTTGTCCCGTTACCAGCGACATAGAAGGTAACAAAAATATCTGCTGTTTGATTTTGTGTTATAAGTTTGAGAAAAAATAAGAAACCAAATAGGCATATTTTAGGACTGGAACTCATTGAAGATGAAGATGAAAGTGCAAAAAGCCGTATTTTAGGAAATTTTCGAGACTAAAAAATAGCCCTTTAATTTGTAAGATAACGTGTGCATTTAATTTTTTTTGTTGTCCAGGCATATTTTCCATACTCAGGTTCAAATATTTATGATTTAATAAACAAATTAATTTTTTTGTGCACCGTCTTCCATTTCGATGTGAATATTTTTCTTTTTACTTTATCAACTGGCAAATGTAATTTGACATGGACGAAAAAAGCAGTTCTGCCAAATTCATTTTAAACATTGTAACCAGTTCGCCAGAATACCAAATTCAATTTCGGGTGTTGAATGATGTGATATGCCGGGTCCACAAAAGCTCGTAGGGAACTTATTACAGATGTATGCTAGCAATCGGCAGGTATATATGAGCAAAGCTAGACTTTGCAGATAGTTCAATTAAGTAGGGAACTCGTTGCTGACAACACTGAGGTGAAGAGCGATTAGTAAAATATGTGTTTACCGAGAAAAAGCTAGACTCGTGCTCACAATGAAAGCTAAAATTAAGAAAACAATTTATTTTATATATGAACATAAATAATTACGGTTGCCCCTTGACATGAAGCGTCAACGCCGTCGATGTTCGGATATGAAATAAAAAGTTTCTCATATATATTCAAAAGCCATTTATAGGCGATTTTTTCCAAAGATTCCGAAGTATTTTTATGAGCAGTTTTTAATTCAAGGCTTAAACGGACTCGGATTACTAGAAATTTTCTGCGGACGATCGAGCGCACTAAGAAAAACCCTCTTGTTCGGAATGACAGTACGCAATGCTAACCACTCGGCTATAGCGGCCGCATTAACCATTAGCTGGTTTTTATTTTCAATTATTTTAAAATAAGTTTAATAACTAGGTAATAAACAGTTTTTAGCTTATTGATAAGAAATTTCTCAAAAAGAAATATCCTCATTCTGTTATGGCATTGACATTTTTCACGTTGTTGGCAAAGTTGGAAATGTCACGCAGCGCTTAAAAGTCTTAGTTCCCACCGGCTTTACGTGCATGAGCTTTAAATAATATTAAACACAGCTAATAGTGGACAACTTGAATTAGTGGGTGTACCTTATTGCTATTTTTTCACGAAACGGTGGAAAACAAGTGTGGCCATTCACATAATAAATAAAAGTTTGTTTACATAGTCACGGCATCCACAGACTACTTAACTCGCTTATATCAGTTTTGTTTTGTTCAGAGCTAAATATTGAGAAAATGTACGAATATTTAGTATAGCGAAAAATACTTAAATCTTCGACAATTATTTTGTCAAAAATCGGCCCCAAAAGAAAAAATTTGGAAGGTGGTTGCTGGTTACGTTGTTGTCAACACAGTGTTCGTAATATGTTGCGTTGGCAATATTGGCGAATAGTTTTTGCCAGCGCATGGCAGCACTGTCTTTACTTGTCGTGAATAAATTTGACTATAGGTTTGGATAGTGTATCCCAAAGTTATTTTTTAAGAAGAAAGGCTTTCAATAAACATTTTTGAAGTAAATGCCTAAGAAGCGAGGGTGTTTTTTATCGCTTTACCTTGCTGAACGTGTTAATTTACTTATTTTTGGTATAGTAAACAGAATTTACAAATTTGCACAACGTAAAATAAATTGAAAGGAAGAAAGAAAGCAAAAAGAAAAAATAGGGTGACGGCAGCGACGACTATCAACAGAGCAAGCAAACCAAAAAGAATATTGTGCAAAATAACGAGCTGCAAGACCCAGTACGTCTCGACGAGTAGCGAGTTGCCATTGTAGAATCAAGTGCCAATGTGTGGTGCGACCTTCTGGCCTAGGGCTATCTTAAGCCAAATATTGGAATTAGGAATTTGTGCTTAATTTATAAATTATAGTCCTTAAATAATCTTCAACCGGAAAATTGAAAAATTGTGCGCGATTTATACGCTCGCGGAGGCAGCAAAACAATTACGCGCCTCTAATTTTAGTGTAGGACTGCATTGACACTGCAACTACACAAATATATATATAAAACGAATTTTGGTAGAAAAAGGAGTAGAGAGATTGAAACAAATTTTCACTTAGTTGATGCGGAACAGTAAATGTATCAGCGGAAATGATTTGTAAAAAGGATGTTACCCAATGGTTTAAAGAACTCGAGAGCTATAAAAGAATTGACACTATGTGTACTTTACTCAACATGTGTCTGCCGTTTGAATTACGGTTTTTAGGTACATGTCTTGAAGAGTTAGGCCGGCGCGATTCACAAGAATTACGTGGCATGGAATTGCGTGTAAACAATCCTCAAGACTTGGCAACTGATATGGTAGCTTGTCAAAAAGGGGAGCCAACTGATAAGAAGATACGAAGAAAAATGGCTCTTTACCTAGCGTTAATACGAGCTTGTAATCGTACCTGTGTAACTGAGATCTTTCGGACATTGGATGGCTGGGGTGATCGTGACTTTTTAAATATGAATGATTCAGACACTTTACAAGAGCTACTGTTAGTATATACCATGGCAGCAAATCATCCGGTATTTTCATTCGATCAACAATGCAAGTGTACGCAAATATTTGAGAAGATTAAAGAAAACAAATTAGTTGCCGATTTTCAGTCATCGTCACATCAACAGCCGACTCTTGACCAAACCATAGTTCATAATCCTCATCAGCAGGAACAGCGTCAGCATTTGCCTCCGTCCCACCAGGAAATTCCACAACCTCTTTTACATTCAATGCATATTCCTGGGCAGCCACAATTATTGACGCCCCTCAACATAATGCCACCTATTCCTATGACTTTTCCACAAGGTCTTCATAAGGTATGTAAATATAAATAAAAAATAAAAAATAAATAATAAATAATTTCCTTGCCAACTATATACTTTCCCACGTATAAACATATATTTATGCACTTAAAAGCCGGAACATAATTTTTCGAGTATTCGTTCTGATCACGATTTTAAAATGGAGTCGGAAAGAAGAATGTTTGTTGAAAATGTACATTTTTTCACTTTCCTATATTTTTTTTTAGTTTTATGTTTGTTTTTCTATATTACAATTTAGAATTTAAAACATCAAAAGAAAATATTTGTATGACTGCTTAACATTTTCGGGTCCTGAAATACTAATGTTTGTTGTTGGCAGAAATACGGGTGCAATTGAAAGATGGCGTCTAAAAGCTCCTTATATTTTAAATAAAATAAATGTTCTCAAAGCAATAACCCTTTCCAAAACATAATTTATAAAAATAATAAAAACCATTTGAAATTTGGATATTACAAATACTGCTTTATATATATACCAACAATCAATCACATCTCTTGAAAAATGAATTTAATTCTTTTTGCCAAATTATGATAGATTGCCACGTCTATGTTTTATGTCTTTTCCCGAGTTAACTAGGCATTATCATTATTCCCTGCCTACATCAAGTAATTTCCGTACTTTTTTCGAACGACATAGCACCCCACCAACCAACCGTTTCGGCCATCAAACTAACTTGTTCATGTATTTTTATTGGCCCTTTACTTACTTAGCATCAAAAGTTAAAGGTAATGGAAATTAGTGATAAGTGGATATTGCCACACGCAAATCCTATACAAATAAATAGATAAATAAGACAAAGGTAACAAGTTTTGTTATTTCATCTTTGAATATATCAAAACCTAAAGATCTTGGTGTGTTTGGTGACATTTTCTTTCAAGTATTATTCCATAATGGGAAAGGTTTCCGTAATTTGATATTCATAGCAAATTTATAAATCTTAAAATTTATTTTCTTTTAGATAATGCAAGCTGATGGATCTATTCAGCACCCTGTACCCGTTGATCCTCACATGATTTTAAATGTCATTCCAACTGAGTCGAATCCTATGTTTCAGCCAACATGGCAACGGATGTATCCACAAACGGTTGAGGTAAAATTCTATTATTTGTTGGATTATGTGATAACGTTTTATTCATTTTTACTAACTAGCAAAAGTGTGAATATATGTCAACCATATTTATAAATTTGTTTCTAGCATCCCCCACAGTCAGCTTCGCCAATGCTTAGCCAACAATCTTCGCCATCAAGCAGCCGAACAACAAGCCCAAATCGCAACACCGGTAATAATATGATGCAGCCTGGAATACAAACAGGTATGCAAATGCAATCAAGGAACATGCCGCAAAGAATGAGCGCCTCGTTAAAAAATGTGAGGCGCCCGTCAGCTGAAACTACACCGCCACCCCAACATCAAATGATTCATGACATTAATATGGCAACCAGCGTCAAGAATATGGATGATGTAAGTATTGTTTACATATTTTTGCTTTTATAATTGCTCAAAATAGTATAGTGTCGAAAAAAAATTATAAAGCCCCTTAAATCTTTTAGTATGAAATACGCAGTAGAAAAGTCTTATCCACATAAACTTAACTTGATTGTCGCTTTGAAACAGCTGATTCGATTTTCGAGCGAGCTCCTCCTCCAATTTGTGAAGTGTGTTGATGTTTTTCTAATAAATCAAGTTACATATGATGAGCTAATATTTCATGTCGAAAGGGCTTGACATTACCTGTCGAGGGACGACGGCAATTAGAAAATAAATTTTTTTTTTTTTGGATGGTGGTCGGACCAGGACTCGAGTCCTGGTCATACGTAATGCTAACCACTCCGATACTTTAGCTGGATCTCTACCATTTTAAATAAAAGTGAGAGCAATATCCTCGATTTTTATTTAATTTTTTTTAAGGAGATTATAGTGAAGACCCGTAAAACCTTCAGAATGCAGAATAATGAAGAAGAAGTTGAATATTTCTACTACATGGTGTCAAAAAGAGGCATGTTGGCCTGAAGGCATTACAATTACTATCGACTTTTTTTTACATTCGGTATACACCTAATTTGTTATTTGAGATATATTGCCATCGAGTTGTCCGCCATATCTTAGATTGATATGCAGCTGTTTATTACCTTAATATTTATTATACCTCTATTGTCTTTAATATTATATGATTACATTCAAAATATTCCTATCTCTGCAAATCCAGCTCCTTTGATTAATTCTCGATATAATGGTATTTTATAATCGCTTAAACGTTTTCCTTCCCGGAATAGAGTCGTTTGTAACTATATATTCTATATATTCTGACTTTTTCCATGTCGGAATTCATTCGAAATTGTTGACAAACCTTTTTTCCTTTTACATCTGATTAATTTTATTACCTCGTACTTTTGTTTCGGTATAAAATGATAAAGCGAAAGCTAAAAACTGTTTACTTTCGTCTATTCAGACGCCATTCCGCTTTCCCAATTAAAAATTAAAATTCAATTTTGCCCAGATATGTTGAGAAAAAGAGTAGATATACCTAAGTACGGCAATGGCACAGTTATTTATAGTTTAGTGTGGTACAAACATGTGCATATATATTGAATAATCTAAGTAATAAAATTTATAATTTTTTTTTTTATTTTTAGGGTGTTGTTGGTAGCGATGCCGGTGGAAATCCTCTACAAACATTAATAAGAAATGGCTATCCACGCCGTCACAAGTCTGCCAATTACGCGCCACTTATTCATCAGCAGCAACAACAATTATCGGTAAATCCACATTTTCAACCGGTAACAAATTTTTCTGCATTAGCTTATTCAATGCAAAATATGTCTATGTCGGACGGATCTAATAGTGGGTTGGATACCACCTTGGTTGGGGGATCAATAAACTCGAATAAAAGTGCTGGCAGTGATACAGGTAGTTCTAATGGTTCATGCGGTGATGCTTCTCCTCCAGAAACTCCAACACTTTCTGGAACATCTAATATGCCAGGAATGCGACTTGGCACTGAAAATCAATTGCAAAAGCATCAGCAACTGGGCTATAATAAACAACCCGGAAATATAAGGCTTAATGGTCGTTCGGACAAATTAATTTCGGCGAATGTTGTTGTTAATGCGGTTAGTACGGCGGCGACTGGTATGTATACAACACCAATGCCAAATACACATCCAGCTATGACGCAACAGACACAGTCAATGTATGGCACTGAAATTATGTTGACCAATAATAATAACAGCGGCTTGGGCAATAATATTGCAGTTGTGAATGCTACTACTAATATTGGATCGAGTAATAATAACTTAGGAGCTAATCCACTGCTATTGAGTTCAACATCAGCGGGTGTCGCTGGTGGTGGTGGTGGCATTATTACTAATATGGCACCAAATCCACTCCATATCCTGCCTACACCGCATCAACAGCAGTACAATACCACATATCCATATCATGCAGCGCCTACTGCCCAACATCAGCGGCTGATAAGCCATGCTGGCGGTCCAGCGCCACCACCGCTACGTCTTATGCCAAACGAGCATATTTATTCATACTATCCAATACCTGGTGCGCCCGGTGGTGCACCACCAGTAGCATTACGACCGACAAATTCAGTGCCGCCCAATACAAGCGTTACATCCGGTGTAACAGGTGTGCTGCAGGTACAGCAACAACAACAGACTGCGCAGGCGCTACAAGCCAATCCGACTGTTATCGCTAGCCCAACGCTATTGGCTGGTACACCGTATAGCACACAAACAGCGTCAATGCCTAATAATAAACACTTGTCTTGTTACAATTGTGGATCACAAAGCCATAGCGGGCCTGATTGCCAAGAAGCGTCTATGGAGGACGTAACGCGTAGCGCTATTTACAAATTGGACTACAGTGGTTCATCGAGTGCATCACCATCGACCGTTTCGTCTGTTGCGAATAGTGTAGTTGTTGGTAGTGCGGGTGGTGGTGGAGGTGGTGGACCCGTCGTTAGCGGTAATGTTCTAACTGAAAGTTTCAATCACCCGCAACAACAACATCAAAAACAACACTCAGTGGAGGTAACAGGAACCAGCTTAGTCGGTTCACAGAGCAGTGCGTCCACCCTACATTCGTCCACGCCCGCCGTCAGTGCAGTGAATACAAAGTGAAGTTACGTGTGCGGTCTTCGAAAACTGAACTAAACATATACTCAGAATTAATTACTGTGTACGTGGTACTCATTCAGTCTTAACTATATAGCCGCTGGAAAACGGCTAGTTAAGCGTTATACATATACATACATTGTATATGTAGGTGTGGGCGGGTGAGAAGACAAACTGAAAATATATAGGATAATGTTAGTTGAGGCTTGCCAGCTTCTTGCTGAGCTTGCGGTATAGAGATTTATACAGTTATAATTAGCGGAAATCAAATTTCACGCTTCTTTTAGTAAATAAGATTAAAATTAGAGAAACTTTTTAATAACAAATGATTAATATATAAATATATGTATATCAATATTTCAATGTTGAAAAAGACTTAATTAATTAATTATAAAGTGAAAAATATACAAAAAGGGGAAATATCGAAAATGTCTGCAATTGAAAGCAAGTTCTGTCTGATGTGTGGCTATAGGAATGCGAACAATATTTACTGAAATAATCAACTAATGCCCATGTAAATGTATGAAAACTACCTTGAGCAGATTGAAAAAGGTCAGGGCTTCTTTTACTTAAGTAATTATCAAATTAGAAAAGAATAATGTATTAAAAATATTCTTAGACATATAAATCTATCGCTTTTTCAATATCCATTCGTTTTCAAACAAAATTTTGATGTTATGCTATAAAAAAAAAACTACATTTGGTATCTATATATTTTTATATTTTTTTTAAGGAGCATGCTAAAATAAATTTTGCTACTAAAACGGTTATAAATTTGCAGTATGCATTTACTATGCACTTTTATGTATTCGTTAAAGGACTATTAAAATAAAATGTTCGCATTGCTATAACTGTAAATACACACACAAAAACAAAAAGAAAGAAAGATAAGAGCACATATACATATAAATATAATTAGTGCTCTGTGCCATGCACCGAGCAAACTTCGGCAATGAAAATTATAATTCTCGGATAAGATAAAGAAAAATAAATTTTTGGAGATGAATCAAATTAGGAATTAATAATTTGTGTTTTACAGTAGTCACATTCTTCTATGTAGTATATATAAATGTATATTTAAGTAAAAAATAATTATTGTTAGTTAAAGGATACGTGAAAGAATAATAAGTAGGATATGAAAGAAAGTAGATGGAGGGGAAGAGAAATGTTTAAACCATTTATATTAAATACGCGTATATGAGTATATATAATCAAATACATCTTAATTATAGATATTTCTAAACATATAACATTGCTGTAGAAGGAGATGCCTATAACTATACATACATATATGAATAATCGTAGAAAAAAAAGGAAATGTCGAAAAATTGAATACGCATCGCAACAATTGATTTTTGCATGTGATTGTAAGTAGTCATGTATGTATGTGCGTTTGGAAATAGCAAGATAAAAGCGTTTTGGCAACAAAGCCTTTTTTTTTTGCTATAACCGTTGGTATTCTTATATTGTATTTGTATACGGAAGTTTAAGCCAATATTTAAAAGATAATTAAAGTTCAGTTGTTATATTGAAAAATGATTGATCTATATACATGTATAAATAATCGTACACACATTCGCACATATTTAGCAGTCGGAAAGAATAAAGGACTAATTAGTACATACATATAAAAATACAATTGTACGTGTGAAATTCGCTCTGCAGCTTAAACTTAAGGTGGGAAAAGCTAATTATTCTTGACTATTTTTTTTTTAACAAACACTACTATATAATTTCCTTTGTTCGAAATTTTAAGCCGTCTACTTTGTATTCATAAATTATTTGATAAATTAATTTAAATAATAAATTATATGTACATACGTATATAATATAAGATTAAATATAAAGGACATTGAACTAAACGTGTATTATGTTTTATTGAAATAAATCGTTTCTTAAACCCCTGTAAAATACAAAAGATAAATTTGTTCGTGATCTTCTTTGCTCAATGATTTCCAAATTTTCAGTTTCTTTTGGTTAAGGAGTAGAAGTTAAATTTGAAACATAAGCATTAAAAATAACGGCAAAAAAAGGCAGCTAACGGCAAAAGATAACATAATTGATTCGCAAGTAGTACTTTCAACTTGAACATTATTATTTTTTTTAAATGGCTATACTCGGAAGACGACTGTCACTTGTCTGGGAATTGTCAGGAGCCACTCTTTTACATATACGTATGGTTCAAGCAGCTCATGACTTTCGGTCTTAAACCAAGTGTCCTCTGCGTAGCCAACAAACATCAGTATGAAGACAAGCTAAAGTGAGAAGACAAATCCCATGCGGATGTTTGTATGGTTTGGGATGTACCACATGAAAATTTATCTCCAATGAAAAAATACGAAAAGCCTCGCATGAGAGACACCCTTTGTCGAGTCTCTTAATTAGGAAAGTGCCATTACCCAGCTGCTTGATGTCCTCGAAAGATTAAAGGCGGACGATGTGACCAAAGATGCTTTTCATGAGTGCCTGGTGTTTACTTATGAGCGTTGCCTCCGCCACGAAGTCAAAATTATGTTTGGTGACTTTAACGCCAAGGTGACCAAAAAGGGTATCTTCTGCACAACTGTCGGAAAGTTTAGCCCCCATGATGAGAAAATTCACCAATCTACCTGGCTGTCTCCAGATCAAAAAACTCACATCCATTTCAATCACAGATGACATGTATCCAGTATCCCAGTCATGGACAAGTGAGGTCATCTAACGGGAGGTCTAGGAACTAACTGTTTCGATGGGCTTAGACCAAAGAGAGAGGGGTTAGATGTGTCGGCTTCAGGGGACTCACAACATGGACAAACGTTGGGTTTGTTGGCGTCGAGTCTAAATAAGTAAGAGTGTTACGCGGGTCTCTCTAGACAGCTGGAGATCTTCGATTGCTATGGGTGGTGATTTAACTCCGAGTACGTCAATCACAGGTGGGGAGTCTTTGAAGGTGTTAACAGACTCCTGGTTGTTGAACATATTTCTAGTACTCCCTTTCTGATGTGCCAGGGTGAAGGTTCAGCCTATATAAGATGCCTTTTGGGATTCTACCGCTTTATGCTCCTTAACTCGTAGCATAGATGCTTAATTTTACAAGTGATGCTCAGCGACATGAGCATGTTTCCTGTCGCGGTCTTAAGAGCTATGTTTTGGCAAGCCTGTAGTTCTTTAACTGCGTCTCGTTCGTCCCCGGTGCTCAGATAGGTGCAGCATAGTTAACGACCGGCTGGCCAATTGCTTTGTAGGTTGCCAGTAAGGTTTCTTTGTCTTTACCCCAGGGGTTGCCATCTAGCTCTTAGAATTTTGCGGCAATTGCGGTGTTATGTTGAATAATGGTATGCAGGCTGTCATATGTGACTGCCAGTATCTTTGGATTATTTATGGTCGGAATTTTTACGCCATTGACCTTCACATTTAGTTCGAGCGAATACAGGTTTCGTCAAGCTGGCGAAGAGAAGTAGACGAGGATTTGCTCGGTTGGATATTAAGCTGTCTTGCAGTGAAGAAGTGGGACAGGTCGACGAGATAGCCGTTCACTTTCAAACAAAGACCGTAAATTTCTTGAGCAGACGCCAATATCGAGCAATTATCGGCATTTGAGGTCAAGGAAAACATTTCTGGTGAAGAGGGGGAGGGGAGGGGGGCGAAGAGCTGCGAAATACAGAAGTTGAGCAATAATGGGCAGAGGACATCACCCTGACTAGAGTTCCCCATCAAAGACCAGGCGATAAGTCTTGGAAATGACCAGTTAAAAAATAATTCATGATGAAAAGACAGCACATTTTCATCGATTTTAAAACAGCTTTCGACAGCCCAGTAAGGACCTGCCCCTACGCCTCTACGTCTGAATTCGGCAACCCAGCAAAACTTATACGTCTGGGTGAACTGACGCTGGACAACATCAGAAGCGCAGGCATGGGGAAGACTTCTGCAAGCCGTACGACACCAAATATGTTTAAAAAATATCCAGCCTTGAAAGTATTCGATGCCTATGGTGGAGGCAGAGGAATACGACCATACCAAGACCCGGCAGAGAATGACATGGTTTCACTTGGTATTTCCAATTGGCGCCAAACAGGGAAAATTATGGATGAATAACCGCAAAAGTATTCCCTAAAAAACTTTTCGGGAAATCTTGCGGGAGTGATTGTTCAGATCGTTCCGGTATAAAGACCCGACGGTAGTGGGATTTTAGGCGCCTCTAACGATAGGCGTTCCTAACCACGGATAATTTTTGAACCCCTAATTTAAACCAAAAAGCCGTAATGAATATGATAATTGAAACGAGATTTGGTTAGGTTTGATTTTCTTAGTACAAATTTGGCTAAGGATTCTTTTTTGGGTAAACACATATATTCCGGTTCACTTTATTAAAGGAATATTTTTTACGACAAGAAATTCTGATTATCCTGCGGCAAAAACAATAACTTAAGTAAATTACTGAGTAAGATTGGTTGCTTAAATCTTTATTTTTGCCGCTTATGAGGTTTAATTTTAATGTTTGTGATTATTGTCTGAGTTCTTTCAGAGTGCGGGTGTGACACTACTGACCGGTGTAATTTGAAACGAATTAGAGGATACTCGTACAATAGACAAATAGTCGCGGTGAGCATAATTCACGCATTTACATCAATCTATCTATGGAAACGTACCCGTACCGGCAGAGCCCACCATCATCAAACTGATAGAGACGTATATGTGTTGCTATGCGACAAATCTTGGAAAATACCCGTAGTTACTTTTACTTTATTTGAGGTTATTTATTTTTTATTACGCTTATTTCATTTTATTTTATTTTTCTTTTAAATTTAATTTAATTTTTTAGAAGATACTTACTATATTTAATATAACTTCATTTCATTTATTTTTTCTATTATTTTATTCTATTTTATTTTAAATAATTTTTTATTTTATATTTTAGTTACTTTACTATACTTGAGGTTGTTTTATTACACTTTTTTCATTTTATTTTATTTTTTTAAATTTAATTTAATTTTTTAGAGGATACTCAATATATTATATTTAATATAACTTCATTTCATTTATTTTTTCTACTATTTTATTCCATTTTATTTTAAATAATTTTTTATTATTATATTTTAGTTTCTTTACTATACTTGAGGTTGTTTTATTAAGCTTATTTCATTCTATTTTATTTTTTTTTTTAATTTTTAGTTTTTTAGATAATTTTTTAGATTAATATAACTTCATTTCATTTATTTTTTCTACTATTTTATTCCATTTTATTTTTAATAATTTTTTATTATTATATTTTAGTTACTTTACTATACTTGAGGTTATTTTATTTTTTATTTTAATACGTTTATTTTATTTCATTTCATTTTTTTTATTAAATTTTATTCCATTTTATTTATGGAGATTATATTTTATATTTCTTCATTTCAGGTATTTATTTCTTTATTTATTTTTTGTTATTTTATTTTATTTAATGTTATTTTATTATACAATATTATATACTATGGTCTACACGCGACTCCGCATCGAATTGAAATGCCTTTAATAAAGATATTAATTTATATTAATACACATGGTATATTATAAGAAATTTTTGAAATGCTTATAAAATATAATAGTTTTTATTTTATTTTAGAGATTTAAAGCTTAAGTAAACATGAAAATAAAATAAAGCTCTGATATATTTTACCACTCGCAATTTATCTTTGTAGACTCTTTTTTTATATTTTTTCGTAAGAAGCTAGAATTTACTGTGAGCTTAGTCTTGAGCATGTCACAATTGGCCTGGGAGAAGCAATTTTCTCTCCAACTTACTCCTACTACCCTAAGAGCCTGGCGTTAAGCTTTGCTTATGGTTACTGCGAAGCATGATTTAACGGTAATCTGCACGCTCTTAAATTCGATGGGGTAATTATTTGGGAAACTTAGGAATAAATGCAATTGAAAACAACATCATAGTTATATTTTCATGCAGTATTTTCATCTGTATCTACTCAGGTGCCATTGCATAATTTTGGTGGATATTTATTGTGCAGTAACATAATTGGCGCTCTAACTCTTAATATCAATTTTTCAAAATGGCGCGCACGCATAACCATTCTGAGGGCTTATCGTGAATATTATTTAAGTCTGTGTAAAATTTAGCACCTGAAACAATTATATTATTATTTAGTTACCGGAAATCACCATTTCCTATTTTAAGAAACAGGTCTGAGAACTCTCCTGCAGTAATATCTTCTCCCAAACGGACTCTCATATTTTTGGTGAGACTGAGTTTTTTCAGTTTGAAGGCCATAAATGAAATCGCTTCAAGTATGCAGTTTCGTTTGATCGCGTTTCTCTGAGCACTAAAGTCTGCCTGCTAACAATACAGTAATTCGCCCCATTTGACTAGTATCATATTATTTCTAATATCTTCTAATGATCTATTTATGAAATGTAATTTTTTAGATATCCAAGTTGTTTGTGATATATTCCTCACTTTATTTCCATGTTTGAAACCCTTCTCTAATTGTTATTTGTACTGTCGATATTATTAATAGATAAATATGTAGTCAATAACAATTTTTTGCACTTTGTATTGTGAATGCAAGGTTGTTTTTGATAATTTTGATAATAATTTTTATACTTTTACCAAATTAAATTATACCAAATTAAAATACATAAATTATTAATACCGATCAAATGACGTATTTTACAATTGTGCTCGCATTTTTATAGTTAAACGAAATCTGTTATGCGGTTTGATTGTTTTAAACATGAAAATTTGAAGCAAATCGAAACATAAGTGCATCGGTTCGCCTTCTAGGAAGAAAATGTGTTCGTGATGTTAATTTGGGAAAAAGTTGTCTTTGTACCCCTTCCCAATTATACTATATAGACCCACTTTTCGGAATAAAAATTGTTCCCACTGCACAAAATGTCATGTAAAACAATGAAATACAAATATACAAATTTTTCGATTAGATCGATCACGGCTCCACTTCTCGGAAGAGTTACCTTTGTACCAAATTTCATGTAAATATTTTGTTCTACTTTAATTGATAGTATTTTATTTAATATTTTATTTTTTAAGCTTTTTCTTCTTCTTAAATCAAATAAGAAATTTTTTCAGTGCATCGTTTTCTCTTTTTTGAATGTCTTATAGTACATTATGTTGGAAAGACAGGTGTAAGAGCGTGTTCTTTCATGTGTATCAACTTACCTCTATGCATTTTCAGTATGGTACAAGAAGTTGCAGTAGTCAGTTGAAGAAATAAAACTTGAAAATAAACAAAAAAAATATATTTGTTTGAATTGTTTAATAAATAATTATAAAAAAGAAAAAAATATATATATATATTTCATTTAAATTAGTTCGCGCAAATATTAAAAATATAAGCATTTATTTAAATATTCATTTATGAATTTTGCTAAATTGTGAACATTTTCTAAAGTTAAATTCAAGTAAAAGCCAAGTGTGAGTGAATTTCGAAATCGCTGTTGCGTGACTTGTTGCAAAACAGTAAAGTGCTGCAAAGAAAAATGTTTAAATCTGCTAAACAGAAGGCATGTATAGAAATGACTGGATCTAAATTGAAAATAAGAACAAACACTCTGGAACAGTCGTACATCACAGAGACGAATACGAACGACAAAAACCAAGGATCTAATGAACACCAACTTGGAGGAAATATATTAATTGGAAATTATGATGTAAGTGCCAGACGAAGTAGAAACGAGAAATAAAAGTAAACATTAGTGGGTATTGAGTCATTTCATGGTTCGGTGCATCGATTGCATATACTCGTATTTCCAAAATTCATAGTTCTTAACGAAATGAAACTACGAATTGAATTAGTCATACATAGGCAATAATAGGTCTCCTTTAGGCCACTAATGCATTCAGTATTTACATGCGAATTTTAATTGTTTGCTTGAAAGTCGTTGAAATTCACAAAACGTGTGTAACTGATGATAGAAAAAAGATCGCTTTTCTTTGTCCATAAGATATGTAATCACATTCCGTCTAACCGGATGCGTACAATGCCGTTGTTGGCACAATCATCAGTCATAAAGTAAAAATTTTAATAGTATTCATAAAGCTAACGGACCATTCTTATACTATATATATATTTCTGAAGAAGAAAAACAGAAAAGAATATATTTTCTTCACTTTCAATTTTGCTTTTAAAGGAAAAAGAGCGAGAAGGAAATGTAACGATCACAGTTTTGTAATGGCTTGTGGATCCATTTCGGCTAAAAAAACAGGCAACCTACAGTTTATGTCAGGAATGGTTTCTAATAAGTTTAAATTTTAAAAGAAAATGCAAAGCAGTCAAGTATCACATGGGAGGAAAAAAAAACAATTTTAAATTGTACCAACACAACGATCCAAAGCACACATTGGAGATTGCTTGCGCTTGATTAGTATATATACAATTGCCTTTATGATAGGACAGGTGTCTATCTCCAGATCTGAATGTTTTTGAGTACGTATGGCTAGAAGTCAGTCGAAAAGTTTACCAACGGACGTATTCCAATACAGAATATTTCAAAAATTTGTTGTCTCTATACCATGGAGACTAGAAGCTGTTATATTAGTTTTTTTTTTTTGAGAAATCCTGTTAGTTGTGTGGAGTGAAATATGTCACAAGCTACAATATTTCCCTAAGTTTTGCTGTTAAATAATTCATTACAATTCTTAAGTTTCCAAAAATATCGTACAAGAAAATTCCGTCAGCTTGATATACTATATATACCAGTTTTAAGAATTTAACTTTAAGTTTGGATGGCGTCCACAGTGGCATTTTACGCGTATGATTAGACGTGTGAAGCTACTAATTTGAAATGTTACTGGGATTAAGGGAAAATGTTAAATAAACAGACTTCCAAATGAAACTTTAACTGTGTTCGGCGAGTGACTGGACATTAAAAGTTGGTAATAATTGCTCGCGTTCGGTGAGGCAAAAAACGAAATTACAAATTCGTGAAGGGAATAAAAACTAGCAAATGTTAATAACAGCTGATTTGAAATCAAAAATCGAATTTATGAATTGTTTCGGGAAGTGGATGAAGCGCTGGCACAAGTGCATAATTTCTAATGGAGAATATTTTGAAGCCGACAAATGCATAATAAATTTTTTTCCAGACTAAAAAATACTCGTTATTTTTTTGAAGAACACATATCGTATATGTATAAGTTAGAATCTTTATTTAAGTAAATAATAAAAAAAAATATATAATGTCGCCAAATAAATAGATAAAAACTATTCAAATTCCGAGTTATTATTAGACCTCATTAACACAAAATATTTTGCAAGAAATTAACAGACGTTGTCAAATTTGACACCACATGGGTTTCACTTGGAATTTATCAACCTGGTTTTTCTCAAGGTAGCTTTCTTGAGCATATATTAGGTTGTCAAATATCTCCCTTCCGCTTTTTTGTCTTTTGAATTTCGCGGCTATGTACAAAGCGCTACAGAGCTCGTATCTGACAACACTGTACATAATTTAAAAGGTCTTGACATAACCTACAAAACAACGCTATGCATGGTTAGTTTGGATATTGCGTTCAACAGTTACTAACGCCGAAATTCGCGCTATTTTAAAGTTTTCCTTCGTTAAAGGCAAATCCGCTAGAGAAACATTCCGTGAGATTAATGGTGTTTTGGGGGATGGTACTCTATCATTTCGAATCGCGGACGAATGGTTTCGACAATTCAGATCGGGTGAAAACGACACCATGGATAAGCCAGCCGGCGGAAGACCTGTGACGACAAATACCGATCAAATCATGGAATACATCGAGTTGGACCGGCATGTGGCATCTCGTGACATCGCCCAGGAGATGGGAGTTAGTCACCAAACCATTTTGAACCATCTGGAGAAGGCTGGATACAAAAAAAAGTTTAATGTTTGGGTGCCGCATAATTTGACGCAAAAAAAACCTTCTGGACCGAATCAACGCCTGCGATATGCTGCTAAAACGGAACGAACTCGACCCATTCTTGAAGCGGATGGTGATTGGCGACGAAAAATGGATCACATACGACAATATCAAGTGAAAACAGTCGTGGTCGAAGGCCGGTGAATCGTCCCAAACAGTGGCCAAGCCGGGATTGACGGCCAGGAAGGTTTTGCTGTGTGTTTGGTGGGATTGGAAGGGAATCATCCACTATGAGCTGCTCCCATATGACCAGACGCTTAATTCTACCATCTACTGCGAACAACTGGACCGCTTGAAGCAGGCGATCGACCAGAAGCGTCCAGAATTGGCCAACAGGAAGGGTGTAGCGTTCCACTAGGACAACGCCAGACCACACACTTCGTTGATGACTCGTCAGAAGCTACGGGAGCTCGGATTTGAGGTTTTATCGCATCCACCATATAGCCCGGACGTAGCGCCAAGTGATTACCACCTGTTCCTATCCATGGCGAATGCCCTTGGTGGTGCGAAGTTGAACTCAAAAGAGGCTTGTGAAAGGTGGCTGTCCGAATTCTTCGCTAATAAGGAGGGGAGCTTCTACGAGGAAGGTATTATGAAGTTGCCGTCTAGATGGAAACAGATCATCGAACAAAACGGCGCATATTTTAACTAAATCCGATCACTGTAACACTTTTTATAAAGCATTGAATGAAGAGCAAAAAAGCGGAAGGGATATTTGACAACCTTATTTATATAATGTACACTCCAAACATAATAGTTACTTTTATTCAAATAATGGCTGGCAATTTGAAGAATTAAAGTCGTTAAGCAGAAGTGTAAATACATACGTTACATTTACATTACGCTCACAAACAGAGGTTACAGATCAAAATTCTGAAGCTAATTACGACGAAGCTTGATAAGTTCAGAATCAGCAAACCGAAAAAAGGTAAAACGTCCTTATCTCGTAGTTTGTCTAATTCGATAGTTTTCCAATTATGTTCATAATCTCGTTATCATTCAATGTTTAAATTTTCGAGATTTGGGCTTTCAATTTTTCGACAAATAAATCAAAGTCTGATCAGACATGTATTTATCTTGATGTTGTAAATAAAGTTATTCCATATTTATTTCTTAGTAATTCAGTCGCACTGCTACTGTTCCTTGGACCGAATACTTATTTTTGGCTCAATTTCTGCCTACACTCTTGTAATCCGGTTTCTGAATCAATTTTCGTCATATCCACCATCTACAAAATTAAGAAGTTTGTATATGTTTGCATTTGAAATAAAGAAATTATGAGTTTTCTTTCCGAAAAATGGTGTCAAAATTGAAACCAATGCAAGTGAAATGAGAAAATACTGTTGCGAAAATGCGAGGCGAATGTCAGATGAAAGAGAGAAGCCAATAACTAGTACATTCTAGAACGGTAAAACGAGAACCTTCGATAGCGGACAACTCGATTATTCTACACTTTCGTCTACGAACGGCCGACTGCTATATAAGGGCGACACTCAGCTGTCAAGTCAAGTTAGTTACAAAGTGAATTCGTTGGCGTTAACATCAGTTAAGTCGTAAAGTAAACGCGTTGGAGATTATATCTAAGTAGAGTAAATTGTGAAAGTTGATACTAGTGATTGTAAATAGTAAAGTGTATTGTAATTGAATTGTGAAGTACTGAGTAAATAAAGGACATTAGTTAAATTCTTTATAACTAAAGAAACTGCAAATTAAGTTGGCGATTTTTATTTAACAATCCAGAGATCGTACCTGAAAGATTCAGAAAATCATCGAAGTTGATTTAGCAAAAGCGTAACAATACGTTAAAAAGCTTATACACTGGGGTCTGGAAATAACATACACTCCATGTAGCGAAAACTTTTACAAAACGTACATAACTTTTCCATCCATTAAGCATTCCTTAAAGTTCTTCTTCTGAACACTTAGAAGCTTTTACCACGATAACGATATGTACTTGTAAAAAAATATCATATGAAATATTACTTTTATAATTATTTATTATTTCAGTTTCTAAAGGAACTGGAAATCACTGATAATGGCATGGAAATTCTTGACTTGAGCTCATTGGCACAACTGGAAATATTGACATGTAATCAAAACAAATTAAAGGAATTAATAATTAACGGAAAGAGTTTGAAAATATTAACAGCAAAACATAACAGTAAGTACTAATGATTTTCGGGTAAAATTATTCTTTGAAATTAGTTCTGAAGTTAGCTCAGCTCTAGATTTATACGCGAGCGAATAGAAGAAGAGTGTTAAACCCTAAGTGTTACTTAACATTTAAATAACTTATTTCCCAGGTCTCACTGATTTAAAAAACTATTAAAAGAGGGAAAAGTTTAGAATTCTTCTTGGTGCATTGACGAGCATCAACGTCTACCACAAACTTGTTGGTATATTGATGGGCCATCTACCAGACGATATTATTTCCACAAATTAGGTAAGGTGGCATCGGTTTCGGCCTTACGGTGATGGGCACTCTGAATGACTTAAAACAACCAATCAACCAAATGATTTTTGTTTAACAACACAGCCTAATCGAAATGGTCATCATACAATAATTTGTTTTTGCGGCCATGCTATATAATAATTTTTGATATGAGTATTAAGTAAACTAAAAGGCCTGGTTGTTTGTATAAATTGAATATTTTTGTTATAAAACAAAGAAAAATGGTAGAAGTGAGCGCTGTTTCGGAGATCACCACATCTCCTCATCAGACTTCTTATGGCAGTGATCGAACCAACATATCCTGACTTAACAGGCGAGTGTTATACCACTGCGCCAACATCAGCCATATAATCTGTTGTTGTATTATTCAATTCATTATTAACCAACAACTATTAACTGCGCTAATTTAGCAGCTATTTTCTTAATAGCTTGGTTAGTGAGTTGTTTTAGTTAATTGAACGAAAAATGTTTAGGCAGGATTAAGTATCAGGTTCAAATATCTCCTTTTTTGTCTTTTGAATTTCGCGGCTATGTACAAAGCGTTACAGAGCTCGTATCTGACAACACTGTACATAATTTGAAAGGTCTTGACATAACCTACAAAACAACGCTATGCATGGTTAGTTTGGATATTACGTTCAACAGTTATAGACGTGTAAACATGAAGTTTGCTAACGCCGAAATTCGCGCTATTTTAAAGTTTTCCTTCGTTAAAGGCAAATCCGCTAGAGAAACATTCCGTGAGATTAATGGTGTTTTGGGGGATGGTACTCTATCATTTCGAATCGCGGACGAATGGTTTCGACAATTCAGATCGGGTGAAAACGACACCATGGATAAGCCAGCCGGCGGAAGACCTGTGACGACAAATACCGATCAAATCATGGAATACATCGAGTTAGACNAATCCGATCACGGTAACACTTTTTATAAAGCATTGAATGAAGAGCAAAAAAGCGGAAGGGAGATATTTGATAACCTTATATATTCATAATTTGTTTTTGCGGCCAACGTTGTATCTAAGTTGTTGGTATGGTCTTCCTTGTTGTATTCTCAGAGAGATCAATGTAAGTATGATCACTCTAAAGCATATGTTACAGTCTTTCCTGCTTTTTTTTTTTACTAATTTCAATACATCTTTTAATTTCGAACGAAATATTAGCTTATGATTTGAACAGAGTATTGAACTTAATTTCTTTTTTTTCAGATCTCATTACAATAAAATCCTTATCGCCACCAACAAAACTTTTGAATATCGACATATCACATAATGATTTCGAAGAATTACCACATTGGCTAGATGCTTGCAGAAATTTAAACAGTTTATTTGGCGATCACAACCGGCTCTGGACCATGGACAATATCTTCACAAAGGATGGATTAAAAAAATTGCATACTTTCAGTGTTGCTTACAATCAGTTGACAACTTTAAATATTTCTACATTGACTTTTGGTGCTATTACGCATTTATATTTTCAAAGTAATAAACTGCAAAAGCTTCCGGATAATTTCTTTACTATTACTTCGAAGACTTTGAAGGTGTTGAATGTCTCGTGTAATAATCTCTGTGCAGTTGGCGATTGTCATGAAGGTGTTGATGACACGGATTGGTGCTTGGAAGAATTATATCTATCAAATAATTATCTGAATGAAAGTATATTTCCACATTTTGTAAGAGCAAAGAAGCTACGTGTTCTTCATGTAGCTTATAATAAGATACGTGAGTTGCCTGAGGATATCATACGCAACTGGAGTGATTTAGAGGTGTTGGTGCTGTCAGGGAATAAGTTACATAATCTACCAGAAAACATTTGCATGCTTACGAAATTGGAAGTTCTGCGTTTGCATTCGAATTTGCTACAAACGACACCAAGCCTTACGAAATTGGCTAGCTTAAAAGTTTTGGATTTGGCACACAATCAATTGGATCATGTTAATCTTTTGCATTTTATGCCGAAAAATATAAAATATTTAGATTTATCATGCAATTCTCATCTACAATTTGATGAGCGGCAAGTGCAGATGTGCCAGTCTCTGAAAAAAATGAGCTTGGTCGATGTGAGTGGTAAGAATCGGGAAAGTTTACCAACACGAAAATTGGTGGAAATGAAAGACAGTAATATCTTGCGTCAGCCGTGGACTGTGGGATTTACTGAAACTACCGGGAGATGTCGGAAATTATTGGTGAAGCAATTGCGCTTATGTAACTTTGCAGAAGACGAAGGTCTCTTTGGTATACTTGAAACCGCTACAATGGGTGCAATAACTACTGCGCTCGTTAACTTTGTGCCACAAATATTAACACATGAAAGGAGTGTAAAAGAAACCGCAAAAGATTATATGAAATATACATTGTTGTCAGTATATCAACGCTTAGCGTGCGAGCGTGCGTGTGACGATATGCAAATTGCGCTTTGTCACATTGCCAAAGAAAGTATAGGCTTCAAAGATTATATGCGGCCGAAGAGAACTAAACGCTTTGTATTACGTGTCGCCAGTATTGGTAACATTAAGGCATATTTAGTGCGTAAGGCAACAACAATTTGCTTGACAGATGCTACCCCCAATGATGAGACCATTTTAAAATCTGACAATTGTAATAACCCAGCTAATACGCTCATATCAGATCCCACCATACACGAAACTTTTTTAAGCAATGATGATGAATTCTTAGTAATCTGCAATGCCAATGTTTGGCGCGTTATGGACATCGACCGCGTCACTAAGGAGATACGTAGTGAGGAAAATATAGTTTTGGCGGCTAAGCGCTTACAGGATATTGCTCAAAGTTTTGGCGCCGATGAGAATCTTAGCATTCTTATTATACGCTTCAGATATGTAGGCACGGATGTGGATGATTTATTGAAAGAACTGAAGAAAACTGTACGAAAAAATCCCAACACACAAAATGTTAACCCCGACGATAAAATCTCAATCGGCAGTCAACGCTTAATTGGACGTTGTTCACCGCGTCAAGTCCTAATGGGTAGCATAATGAAGAGTGATCGCTCGTCACCGAGTGGGCAGAGCGATCACGCGCAAAATTTTCTCAATAAAGGTGCATATGGCGCCGAAGAGTATGCTTTTGCGACAGAGCATGTATTGGAGGAAGACGACGATGATTTGGAAATTTTACAGGAAACCGATTCAGTGTTATCAGAAGAACAGTTTAAATGTTGGGAATATATGCTGGAGCAAAATACACAATTGCTTTTCGACAAAGAGCTCAATACAATCTCCAAGTCAATAACGAAATCACATAATAACGATGCTTCTGTCGAACTTAATATCGGATTAGATACAAATGACTGCAAAGAAAGTAATATAATCAAAAGTTTTGGCAATCGGTTTATATCACACAGTTCACCGCAATTACTTTACAATGAGATAAAAAAACCACTAACTACAACACTCGCACACAAGCATCTTGAGAAACGTCATCAGCGACACCAACAACAGCAAAATAATCAACAACAAGTGTCGTTCTTGTCAAAACACTTTGGCAGTTGTCGCTCATTTCAAACTCAATCCAGATATAATCTTTTCGAATCGAAAAGTCAAAACTCAGTGAATGTTGGTCTGAGTTCGAAGTGGAGTGGTGGGCCAAACGCAGCCTACTTCGGTTCATTACAACGTCTTATGCCATATAATTTGGAATATGATTTCACAGTTACGCAGGATCGCAGCGCATTTAACGAGGAGGATGATGAGTATAGTGAACAAGAAGATCGTATGAAACAATATTGGGGCATAGCCACAACGGAATTGTAAATAAATATACAATATATGTCGCATGTAGTTAGGTATAATATTTTTAAGGATTTTTTGTAATATATCGAATATCTAAAGATGTGAAGAAAATATTATTTGTTTCAAATTTAAGTTTTTTATCTTTTATTTGCAATTTTTTTTTTGATTAAATAGTTTCCGTATTCGAAATTGAAAAAAGAATTGATCCACACGACACTGGTGTAAAAGTGGTCAATTGATGATTTTAGATGGGTAAATTCTTGGACCTTTAGATATTTATTACAAAGGAATCGTTAAAATATGCATATACATATATAGTAAAGCGATAAATTATCAGGTATACAACTTTGCTTCCGCCGTTTTTTCCAAACTTAAAAGCTTTCTTGCGAAAATGTGCTTACAGATATATTGTATTATTCAAAGTATTGTCCTTCGCTAGCGACAACTTTCTCCCATCTTTCCGTCAATTTTCGGATCCCGGCTCGAAAGAAGGAATCCTCTTTTGACGCTATCCGTGAAGCAATCCATTTTTCCAATTCTTCGTAGGATGGAAAATGTTGATCTGCCAGGCCGTGTGCCATCGAACGGAATAGGTGGAACTCAGAAGGGGCGACATGTGCGGAATAGGGCGGGTGGGGTAAGACTTCCCATTTCATCGTTTCCAGGTACTTTTTGACCACTTTTGCGACGTGAGGCCGAGCATTGTCGTGCTGGAGGATGACTTTATCATGTCGCTCTTGATATTGTGGCCGCTTTTATTTTAGCGCGCGACTAAGGCGCATCAGTTGCGTTCGGTAGCGATATCCTGTGTTGGTTTCAGCCGGTTTTAAGAGCTCGTAGTAAATCACACCCAGCTGATCCCACCAAATACAAATCATAACCTTGTTTGTCTTCGACATCGAAATCTCCATTTTTAAAACGTTGAAACCACTCCCGACACGTTCTTTCACTCAGAACATTTTCGAGCGTAAATAATACGAAAACAAGAACAACTGTCACTGAAACGGCGATGACAATTCGTTAGGCACTGTCCACACTCACTCTAAAGGCATTATCATCTATGTATTTCAACCAGCCTCAGCCGGTACAGCTACCTATCAGAAAACGGCGGAATCAATATTGTGCACCTGATATAATAACATGCAGATGCATTTTAAAACTAACCAACCATTTGTTGACTTGTTCGATGAAGCTTACGTTACGGGAAAGAAAACAAGCAAATAATACTAGTGGTTGAAAAAAAAGAATACTTCGAAAGGAAACCATAGAAAGTAATTAAGACAAGTCTAGAGTATTTATTAAATATAGCATATATTGCATGGATTTTTTACAGAGAAATGTACATACATAGGTATATATGAGTCATGAGACTCTCTCTTCACACCTATTTCGCATTTCGACTCGATTAGATATTTTCTCTGTTCGAAAAATTTGGCATACTGCGTTAGGCTCCTTTTCAATCACCCTTTAAAACTTTCGATTCTATCCAATACTATCTATACAGCATTTCGAACGTTGTTAATTTATTGTGCGTTGAAATTTAATTTGGCGGAAAAAGTTTGATTTGATATTTTGGTGTACTTAAATTATATAGTTTTAACGAAAATGTAAGTAAAACATGATTTTGATAGTTGTAAAAATCTTTTTTTAAAAAATTTTGAGCTATACTGGGGGTTTGATATATTTACAGGTCAAAAACAACAACACCAGACTAATATAAAAATTGGAAGTCATAGTGACCATCAACATGGACCTTACACAGGGCTTGCAAAAGCGTCCTAAAGGAAAAGTGAAAGCATTTCGGGAGGATTTTGCAAATGCCGTTAATTTAATTGGTCTACCATCAAAAGGATCCAATACATGGAGAAGAGTAAAGTATTATTGGAAATTAATTTTTAAAATCGTTCGTTATTTTTAAGGTGTTGTTGGATTGGAAGTGCTAAATCCAACGTAAGCTATATGCTAATAAAAGGGAAGCCATGAGCATCGATGGAGGCAACAAAGAGAGAGAAGGTCCAACAAGGAGGACGCTGCTTGCTTGCTGAGGGAGAAAATAGCTTTGCAAAAATAGTTTTTTAAAGCAGAAGTAATATAGAAGCTGTGTCCAAGAAAATGGCAGAATCGGCTATTTACGACGCATGAATCGCTCTTTAGAGAGCATGGCGGATACTACAGCGAATAACACATATTATTTTATTTACATTTACTTAATTTGTGCAATATCAGCTTGTAAAGAGACCGCTTTGTTCTGTTCAAATTTCCAAAAATTCTCCTTCCTCTTTTCTTTTCAATTATAACGGAGCGTACAACAGGACCGTAATCGAAATGCAGAATAGGGCTGATTATATGTGATCAGCCACTTAACGGTTTCACCCATAATTTCCCACAGATTTATGTATTTTACGAGTATACCGTTTGCCATTTGAACATGCAAAATATTTTCCAAAANATTGGTCTACCATCAAAAGGATCCAATACATGGAGAAGAGTAAAGTATTATTGGAAATTAATTTTTAAAATCGTTCGTTATTTTTAAGGTGTTGTTGGATTGGAAGTGCTAAATCCAACGTAGGCTATGTGCTAATAAAAGGGAAGCCATGAGCACCGATGGCCCCATCCGATTACAATATATATAACCCCACCCAGGATAAAGTGATTGTTAGTCGATGCAAATGACATACCGTCAAAGAGAGAAGGTCCGACAAGGAGGACGCTGCTTGCTTGCTCAGGGAGCAAATAGCTTTGCAAAAACAGTTTTTTAAAGCAGAAAACATATAGAAGCTGTGTCCAAGAAAATGGCAGAAAGTGTCGCTAATTTACGAAGCATGAATCGCTCTTCAGAGAGCATGGCGGATACTACAGCGAATAACATATATTATTTTATTTATATTTACTTAATTTGTGCAATATCAGCTTATAAAAAGACCGCTTTGTTCTGTTTAAATTTCCAAAAATTCTCTCTTCCTCTTTACTTTTCCATTATCACGGAGCGTACAACAGGATCGTAATCGAAATGCAGAATAGGGCTGATTATATAATATGTGATCAGCCACTTAACGGTTTCACCCATAATTTCCCACAGATTTATGTATTTTACGAGTATACCGTTTGCCATTTGAACATGCAAAATATTTTCCCAAAACACATAACTTCTAGCGGAAAGTCTTTTGTGTCTAAGAACAAAATTACATTATAAAATTATTAACATGTTCCCATGGGGTAATTTTTTTTTATCAAAAAATTCAACCGAATGTTATTTTAACAAACCTCTAAATATCTATAGTGATATCTTCTCTTTTCATTGATGAAACACATTAAGTTCACCGTTTTTTCTAAAATTTCTATTCAAATAGGGGAATGTCATGGTGTAATCATTCCTAGGCAGGCCCAATGAGAGGGGGGGGGAGTCGGGGACTTTTCCCCCCGGGTCCGTAGATTGCAAGGGGGCCCGGTATTTTCATTGTCGTATATAGAATAATTTGCTTCTAGAATATCTATGACGTAACTGACTACAGAAGTAAGAAAACTGAATCTTACTGCTGAGACTAGACGGGATGTTGATGGAATTTTATAATATATTAGCAAATTTGAATGTATCCTAAAGTCAACGATATGGTTCAAAATTCTTACAGTAATCAATGACGTTAGTTTGGTTTTGCAAAAGAAAAAAGCCACATTAGTTGTACAAGTCAAAAATCTCGAAAGTCTCTTAGATAATCTGCAGATCTTACGCAACCAGAGGAATGCTATCTTAAAAGGATGTCGAACAGTTTCCGAGCATTTGACGACCACCACGTCAACATTCTCAGTGAGTCGTAAAAAGAAACGAGTGGAAGTTGCACCCGAAAATTCAGAAGAAGATTATACTGATGAAGAAATTGATGATTTAGCGTACTTTCAAAAATAAAGAACTGTCATCGTTCTTGTTCAAGCCAATTTCGAGTCCAGATTACTCATTCATTTTCATTTTTATTCAAGCTTTATTCTATCTTAATCCCCAACTCGTTGATTTGCAGTGTAAGTACAAATAAACATATTTGTTAGATCATGAATTTAAGGTGTTGGGGGCCCACACTTGAATTATCCCCGGGCCCCGATTTTCTATCGGCGGCCCTGTTTCTGGGTGTGATCAGTAGACTCTCCTCTATTTTGCCGCAGTCTTAATTCGGTATTGATTTCAAATATTTACATTAGAAACGGGGAAATTAGGGGTTCGTTTCTACCACTAAATTTTATATTTGTATGAAATGAATATTATATGAAAATCACTTCAGCCATTTTAATGCCGGTATGTATTGTACTTACGATTATATATAATATATTGTATTGTTTTATATCAGTTTATGTTAATTCTAAATGAGTGATATCTATGTAGATTTTCATAAAGAAATACTTGAACGACGTACTTTAGTACTATTCCCTACTTATTACGTTAGAGTGAGCAATACTGGCAATAAAACTGCAGATTTTGTCAAAATTACAGTAAACACGTAGCTTTTGATCACACCTTTTTATAACTTTACCCTGTGGAATACAACCGTATAAAATGACAGTTGTTTGCTAAGACCGTGTGTGGGAGACGGACAACTGTTTACCTAATACATCTGGTTAATATTTCATCATTAGGCGAGCATAAAGAATTTATTAGGAAAATTTATGGAATAAAATAAATTATTTTCTTTAATAGATTTGCCAAATTCTATGATAGATCTTATACGTTACTCTAGCTGACTTAACTTCCACTCCATATTCGGAGAGGCGACTTGGTTGAAAAACCGGGTTTGTTGTTTTGAGTTTATGATAAATATCTTCGTTACTTTCAAGAAATTATAAGAACCCTTCGTTTTTCTTTTGAAGATAGGCTGCGTATGTTTCAGGTGTACAACTTTGCTTTCGCCGTTTTCTGATAGGTGGCTGTACCGGCTGAGGCTGGTTGAAATACATAGATGATAATGGCTTTAAAGTGAGTGTGGACAGTGCCTAACGAATTGTCATCGCCGTTTCAGTGACAGTTGTTCTTGTTTTCATATTATTCACGTTGGAAAATGTCCGTTTATGTGCCTAATTCTCGCCATTTGCGGGAAGTTTTACTTTTCAAAATTCGAAAAAAAATGCAGCTGAAGCGCATCGAATGCTCTCAGAAACTTACGGTGACGCTGCTCTGAGTGAAAGAACGTGTCGGGAGTAGTTTCAATGTTTTAAAAATGGTGATTTCAATGTCGAAGACAAACATGGTGGTTGAAGAGAATCAGCTCGGTGTGATTTACTACGAGCTCTTAAAACCGGGTGAAACCATCACAGGAGATCGCTACCGAACGCAACTGATGCGCCTTAGTCGCGCGCTAAAATAAAAGCGGCCACAATATCAAGAGCGACATGATAAAGTCATCCTCCAGCACGACAATGCTCGGGCTCACGTCGCAAAAGTGGCCAAAAAGTGGAAACGCTGAAATGGGAAGTCTTACCCCACCCGCCCTATTCCCCAGCTGTCGCCCCTTCTGACTTCCACCTATTCCGTTCGATGGCACACGGCCTGGCAGATCAACATTTTCAATCCTTCGAAGAATTGGAAAAATAGGATTGCTTCATGGATAGCGTCCTTTTTTCGAGCCGGGATCCGAAAATTGCCAGAAAGGTGGGAGAAAGTTGTCGCTAGCGAAGGACAATACTTTGAATAATATATCTGTAAGCACTTTTTCGCAATAAAGCTTTTAATTTTGGAAAAAAACGGCGGAAGCAAAGTTGTACACCTAATAATATCATATGGAAATGGTGTAAACATAATAACTTACCTTCTGGGGGCATATGAATGTACTTAACGACTTTCAATCTTTCATGAACGGTAGCTAAATTTTGTTGAAATAATACTCAGTCGTTAACGGATGTTCATAAACCATACTTGATTAATTTACGTTTCAAACGATGTAAAGGGTTATCCATTTCGTCAAATAAAACATGTTTTAATTTAGTTAAAAATTAGGTATTTATCAAAATCGATCACTTAACAACCGCACAACGCGTTAAATTGCTTAACCTACAACAAAAACTGTGATTTAAAGGTTATCATGTTTCGTGTCTTAAGAGGAGAATATGGTGCACATAATCAAGAAATTGGTAACATTTTAAAGAAATTTTAAGAAACGAGATCGGTTACAAATATTTTATGGCCTCTGCATCATAGTTTTGTTAGTTGCACCTCAAATATCGCTACTATAAGTGAAAGTGTAGCCGAAAATAGGTTTGATTGGACCTTTCTTCTTTGAAAACTATATGGCCCAAAACTCGAGCGCATATAGCCTTATTGCGAGAGATATTTCTCTCAATCTCTTCTTAGTGATGTCATCATTGGACTTGAGTCTTGTAGGGCTACGCAAAAGATTGTGGTTATACGGATAAGCCTTTATCGCTTGAGCACTTGAAAATGATCATTCAAGTTATCTTAAACGGATCGAAGTTGGCAAGATGTAGTGTTTCACATATAATGTTAAGGCCACAGTTTAAGCTAAGTTTAATTAAAAGTCAATTATTAAGGGAAAATTATTTGAATGCACGATATTTGCGAAATGGATAACTTTGCATGATGTAGATAAATAGATGGACAGGACCGTTGGTTTATTTTTAAATTTTATTTGAATTAACCACGTCTGCCGTTCTCTTGTGTATAAAAAGCCTTTTGAGCTACAGAAGGATTCCCTCCTTATCCCTAACCCATTAAAATAGCCTGCCGATAATATAGCTGTTATAGCGACTGGCACGCTTCTGGCTACTAATAGTAATATGATGGAGAACGTTCCAAGTACCATACATTCAACGATGGATTGGTCTAGCAAATTCTAAAGTAGAAGCAAGTAAAACAGAGCTCTTCACTCGAAGTTTCAACGTACATACAGGCAAACCGCCAAAACTCAACGGAATGAAATTCATCATATATGATATATAGTGGTTGTTGAAGAGAAAAATACCATTGCGTCTTTTACGTGCTTGTTTTATTGTTTTCTGACGAGACGCGGAAAAAGGCTTATAGCAGAAAACCTTTGAAAGTACAAAGCAATTTTCTTCACTTTGAATAATGCGAGCACCAAGGAAGAGAAGATTAGACATCATACGTGTAGATAACATATCTTTGGACTTTATCTAAGGCAAAAAGTTTCAGGCTACATCAAAAAAGGGTGGATGGCATAGAAATATGCAGTCTACTAACAGCACTTACAACATTTATGCGGATGGATGAAAAATAGCTGATGGTTTGGATGTCGGAATCTACTTCTCAAACTACGGAAACGACAATACAAGCAATTAACTCAGAGTGTATTATGTAAGAAAATGTTCATAGGAACATAGCTGCAGTGATTAGAATGGCTACAGTGAAGCAACTGCATATCTCTTGGATTTCAGACAATGTGGTCAATAAAGAGAACTATTTAGTTGATTAGAATGCTAAAAGGACAACTCGTCTGGTTACAAAACCGGAATAAGGAAATACTCAAAACACTAAAGCCTTTTTTACATACAAGGAATTTGACGAAATAGATAGAAGACGAGATGGAATTGCAACTCGGCCTACAAGGCACACATTTCTGTGTAATTCATAGCATGGGAAACCTAATCTAAGTTCCCTCGTTTGCACCAAGCTGGTTTGATTTACTTTCTTCTCCGGTTTACAAAAAAGAGAACCAAATTTCAACGAATTTAGCTCAGCTGATTTCAATTACCATCTCTGTTTTATGGTTCTATAGCCACCCATTAAAGTTTTAGTTAGTGTGGGTTTTAAGTAAAATTAATTATGATATATTTTTATTGTTTCTTCCTGTAAGAAAACCAAGTTATTGGATGAGGCAAAACATATCTGTTTATGCGTGCAACCCTGCTGCGTCGCAACAGCATCGCCCATAGATGTCGCTGATACACTGGAAGATAACATGATAAACTATTTTGGTAGTTTTGAATCCCGTTAGCGATTCCATGCAGATTTCCCCTTCTGTGGAGTCTATAAAAGGCCAATGTTGCCTAACAAACCTTCTTCTTTTTTCCAACTCGATCGGCGTATCAGCGACATCAAGCTGAGTCTCTCCTATTTTTTTCTAGTTATATTTCACATATATTGTATATGTAAATGATAATTTATATAACATAAAATATAAAAGAAAATATTTAATAACTACAATACTAACAAAAAGGTAAGATTTTTTTTGGTGCACTCTCTTGGAGAGTAAGTAGGTTTTTCTAATTTTTGTTACAGATTGGATTACTGGAGGAAGTACCGCCGTTTTCCAGAATTCACGAGGAAGCGAACATATCCATACAAAGTAATAATAGTCTATACTATCGATATTTTACGCAAATAAGGAAAAAATGCATAATTCTTAACAGTTTTGTTTATTTTTTGTGTGTCAAATAGTTTTTAGGTAATCATGTAGATATAAACATGACATCACTTTTTCGTAAATGATATTTACTAGTTTGTATAAAGCATATGTTTTTTTAATAAATAATTTGTCTATTCTCATTATAATTAAATGCTTTCTATTTTACACGAATACCTAATGTTTACTTATAATATATACAATATATACATTTATTATGTTTCCTTTTTTATTGTTTCGAACAAATTTTAACACATTTCGTCTGGAAAATTTATAAACATTTTAAACGAATACTTATTAAGAACATTTGGGAATTAAGTAATATATTGCAATACAAATTAAATACGGCTTTTTGAGCAATTTCATTGGGTTTCAATACTTACATACAAAAAAACATCTACATACAATGATACTTACAATTAAATATTAGTTTTAAATTTACTTTGAAATCAAATCAAACAAATGCGTATACAAATTAAAATAAATATAATATTTTTAATTTTGCCGCATAACCGGAATTGTGAATATTGAAATATTCATTTCTATTAATTTAACAGCAATTAGTATGATGTGTTGAATGTTATAGGATTTTGTGTGTGAACTTGAATTGTGGTTCGTTCTGCTTGGCGCGCCAAATAGTGAAATTGCGCATTTGCAAATAATTAAGCAATATGCGTGTGCACGAATATCAGTAATGAACGCCCGGTGTTTGTGAACTCGGATTCGATGTATTCCCTGAGTCGCCCAGCCAGGAGTCAGGACTTGGTGGAAAGTCAGGATAGCCCTGCTCTGGACTTGAATCATTACTTAAATCCGAAACGGCACTTCCATGTACTCGTAGTGCCTTTGACGCAGCCACATTATTCGATGATGCGCTGTGTTCTGTTGGGGAAAAAAATATATGTACATATGTATATATATTAAATTTTGTAATGAAAAATATTTTGTTTGATAGAATGTTTGCTATCTTATTCTATAATACTTTCATACAGGAAAACCATTGGAAACAATACAGCTCATGGCACTCTGCATAATGGGAGCGCTTAAAATTGACCCAACGGCTGTTGTCAAACATTTACATACTAGACATACGTATATACTATCCCAGGTGGTTTCTGGGCCATGAGGAAATTGTGGGGAATGAAAAAGGGCAATCGCTTTGGCGACAAATCAGAGCGAGATGGAATGGCTTAACTGAAAGACTGTCTATGTCTATGCAGGCAATTTTTGCTGTCGCTGTCTCGATGGGACTGAAAACATATATAGACTAAATTATTATATATAATAGTCTTTAGTAATAGTGACGTCTGGGGTCTTTGCAGTCCAGAGAACAAGAAGAAGTCTTCAGACTAGGCACTCTGCAGCATATCAAAAAGCGATGACGTCGTATATGCCGACTATTTCACCTCGAATTAGGTTAAATTCCCATCTGACACTACAAAAGTCACACAGGTCTAAATACGATGTAGCCGGCAGCCGGTGTAAACTAATACGTGTTATTAAACGTGCGCCTAATGATGTTTTTTTTTTAACTAAAATTCGAAGGCCCACGGAATAAGAGAGTTATAGGGGACTAGGTTCATAACGATCGTAACATGTTTATATATATATAAATCGCTTTAGCGGTTTCAAAGCGCTTAAGTAGGATATATATATAATTTGCGCTCTGTAGCCGCTAAAGCGAATTTCCTGCCGAGCTCCTCCGCCAATTTGTGGTTTTGCGTCTTGATGTTTTTTCAACAAACGGAGGGACCTACAGTTTATACTAAGCCGCCTCCGCACAGCTGATGGTTTTCTTACGAGGAGCCTTTATTTCATGTCCGAAATACACTCGGAAGGGTTGACATTACCTGCCGAAGGGCGACTGCAATAAGAAAATTTAACTTAAGTTTTTATTTAAATGCATTTTACATAACTGTTTTGGATGGTGGTGACAACGGTATTTGAACCCGTGCCTACCGAATGTCACTACGCAATGCTAACTATCCGGCTGCCGCGGCCGCCGACATGTTTAGGAGCTCATAATTAGTATAAATACAAGGTTTCATTGTTATTACGTAATTTGTCTTTGAGCAAGCGACATAATCGGGAGTGGAAAGTGGAATATGGAAATCAGATATTGTATGGTTATACAATTTCTGTACTAAGCAAGGAAAATCAATTGCGTACATAATGAATGAGATGTCATTGGTTTTCGACGATTCTTGTCAGGGGAAAACCAAGGATGGTAACCCATTGAATGTGACTCGAGACCGGCCACTGGCCGAGATGACCACGCCAGAATTTATCCGAAAAGTTAAAAAAAAAAATTGGGTTCTTCGATGCTCGACTAAAGCAAAAACCATTCACAGGAATGGCTGGAGTATCTGATACATCATTTTTAGTATCTTGTACGATGTAGGCATAACTAAGGTCAGTGCTACTGTGCCCAGTCCTGACCCCGGGTGACATTACTTGTTCGCAGAAATAAAAAAGAGCTAAGAGGTAAAACATTGATGAGCATGAAGAGAAAGCATTTTTATGACGGTGTAAATAAATAGAAATAAAAGAAAGTTCTGAAAAATGTATTCGCCTTTCATGTGAAAATATTGAAAAGAAAAAATAATGTAATTTATGCATTTCCAGTCCTTGTCCCGTATTCCGCGAACCTAAAAACGCTCCCACGTATACCATAAGGAGATATGTTTTCATGAAAGTGCATTATTTACCTATATTTGTATAAACAATATTATCAGGATATGAACCAAATGAGTGATTGTGCCCTACGGGTGGTGGCGATCGACTAGTAGGATATTGCGGTGGACTGGAACTACCGTGCAAATATGATCCTCTTATGCTATGTGGTGAAGCACCTTCATCTAAACCTAGGTTGACCGTACTGTAGCTATCGTTACTTAAATCTGTAATAGAGGAAAAATAATTTTTTTTTACCCCATATAGTAGTAAATGCATAGGAAATATAAGCACGCACCATGATGACTAAAACTGTCGTAGTCTACTTTCAATTCATCCTTATCGAGGAATTTTTCCGTTCGCGGTGAGCAATTACCCTTCATTGATCTGAAATATTGACTCCAACGCGTTCGTCCAGCATCCTTCTTCAGTCGTTTCTCCTTCGCTCTCCTATTTGAAACACAAATTTGTTTATTGTAAAAAAGAAATATTTTTTTTTTTTAAATTAAATAAGTAGAGCTTACCTATTTTGAAACCAAACTTGAACGACTCGCATGTCCAAACCGGTATCTTGTGAAAGTTGCTCTCGTACATGTCGTGCGGGCTTGGGGCTGTTATTGTAGGCTGTTTTGAGTGTTTCTAATTGTTTTGCCGTAATTGTTGTCCGAGGTCGTTTATTGGGTTGATCACCATCTAATGAGCCATCCAAATAGAGACCTGCGAGTGTGTAAATAAATATTACATAAGCAAATCGCTTGAAATTAGGACTAACTTTGACATATTTACTATACGCAATATTTTACTAAGTTGCCTTCTTTCTCTCGATATCTTTCTGGAGCAGATACACTATTAAGTATATATATATAACTGGCTCTTTGTAACTGCTAAAGCAATTTTTAGCCGCGCTCCTCCTCCATTTCGTGGTTTTGCGTCTTGATATTTTTCTAAGAAATGTAGGAATCTACAGTTTATACTAAGCCGTCTCCGAACGGCTAATGATTTTTTACGAAGAGCCTTTATTTCATGTTGACATTCCCTGCCGAGGGGCGAGTGCCATTAGAGAATTTAATTTATTTTTTTATTTCAATTAATTTTCTATACAAATTTTTGAATGTTGGTCGCGCCGGGATTTGAAATCAAGCCTTCGGAATGGCAGTACGCAATGCTAACCATTCGGCTACCGAGGCCATTATATTAAGTATAGTCAAATAAACTTTATTAAAAAATAAAATTTTTTTAGTTTTTAAAATTTGTCAGCTAAAAAACAAATTACGTGATACTTTAGTACGTAATGTAAATTGCAGGTGGGGAAGCGGCATGCCTTCCATTCAGGAGTTTCACGCCAACCCCTTCACAGAATTCTGCACCTCCTCTTTGACCTCCTCGTTGGTTGAGAACCTTTTCTACTCAGGACTTCCCATTTAAACGAGGAGAGTACTTTCTTTATAGAATTAGTCGTGAGTGGTCCGGTATAGTCGTAGTGTAAACATACTAATTTTGTCGAATAATTTATAGCTTGTGGTGATATGCAGTTTTCACCTCAAACGTGAGTGCCTGAGTACACTTAATTTCTGGTTATGCCTCGTATTTTCTTCCGATCCTGCTGATTTCTTAAAAAGTACCTAGTTCTTTTATGTGTGGCAAATATATATTTAATACCGAAGGCAACAAAGCAAAATACACGTATATCGCATTTTATATTATATTTATCTACTATGTTAATTGAACACACACCCACCTTTCGCCTTCGCATCTTCATAATCACGTTTACATATTAGTTTTCTATCTTCCATAAGATAAAATTCATCACCGGTATTTAGTGTTCGAGAGCATATTGTACATAGAAAACATTGTAAATGGTAGACATTGTCCTGCGCTCTTCGTACTACTTGCGTTGGCGGTATTCCCATATCACATGCGGAACACTTTGTTCCATATCGTCTAGTAGGCCCGAACATTGGAAAGGCAGAAGTTTTAATTAGTGCTACTTATTTTATTATTGCATATATAAATATATTTTTTTTTTGTTTTAGTTATGCATACTATCCTTATTAATGATCTATTTTGAAAGGGTATTTATTAAAAAAAATAATATATTTGAAAAAAAGAAATTGAAAAAAAAAAATATTTTTTCCGGTTTTTTTTTTTTTTTTGGGGGGGGTTTCAAATTTTCAAAAGGAGTCCCTTATCGCATGAAGAAGCTAAGGAATTTCAATATTATGTTGTTTATATGACATGAGAATATTTTTTTTTTTTGAGAATATTTTTTTTTTTGTTAAATATGAATAATATTTATGCATCAGATGCTATTGGTCTTATGCATAAAGAGCATAGCATTAAAAAATACGCGCTGTCGAGCATTTTGAAAGGACGACTTAAAGTTTTATTACATTACATTTAGTTATTAATTGAATTGAAAAAAGCTTTGAGCTCAAAATGGAAATAGAAAATGATTAGCAGCTATTAAAAAAAAATAGTTATGCTTTTAAAAGAAAACATAAAATTAAAATTATAACCTATTTCAAAATAAGTGATGCCAAATAACGTATCTTAATTAATTAAATTAATATTAAAAAAATTAAAATTTAATTATTATTAATATAAGTTCTTGGTGATGCATTAATGAGCGCCACTTCTCCCATTCACAATAGTAAAAAACCCTCAAATAAGGCAGCATTGCCACATTGAAATGCAGTTCAAATGCACGAAATTTTATTGCATTCACATCGGTATTTAAAATATGATAACTCACAATTTAATACAAATAAAGCCATCTTAAGCAGTTAATACTTATTGACTTAAATGTGTTTATGATACGTACATATGTAGGTGTATCTATTTTTTAACTAACTGTAATTGTATTTTCTTTCTTGTATTGAAGTCAGCCTTAATCTGGGATGGTAAGCGCATAAAGAAAAATTTTTCTATCTCCTATTTTTTTCATTCACATTTATTATTTTAGAACAATTTTGTAGCTTAACTTACTTAAAAAAGTCTTCTTTGCAGAAGAGTTGACCATTACGCGAGAAGCATTTGTCATTTAGCTGTGTGTGGCATTCGCTGCATTGTAAACACTTCGCATGCCACGTTCGCTCCAACACTTTCAGAATAAAACGGTCTAGTATAAGTTCGTGACAGCCTCCGCATTTTGGTATAGTTGCTAAAAAGAAGACATAAATTCGTTGAAAATTTTTGTAAATTATATTCTTTTATTAATTAATTAACATATATCTTTGAGTATACACATACATATATATACTTATGGTCAGAGCTTTTCTACAGATATACATGCAACACACAAATAGTGCTGTGCATCTTATTAGAAGTAGGAATTTTTATGAAAAGAAGTTGATTAAAGCTACAAGTATATGTAATACTTAAAATGTCAGATAACTTCATAAGAAAATTAAAAAAAATTGGCATATTAATCCATTTATTATTTTATAGTTTTACAGACTACCCTCTTCTGCAATATTATGCTCAATTCATTGTTTCTTTTAAATGGAGGCTCTTCATTAAGGAAGTTCAGGCGGGTATATGATAGAAAATTTATTTATATTTTTGAAATGTCAATATTTTGCGTTGTCCCCTTTTTATGAATGTGCTTGGAGATAGTTTTGCATAATTATTTAAAAATTATCTAAGTATAATTGCGCCTGAAATTTCATATACTCGTATACTTTAAAGATCATATAAATATCCTTGGCAACACAAGATTATAGTTCCCACACATACTTACATATATTAGAGTCAAGTTAGGAAAAACAAAAATATTTTAAACAAATATTTCCGATGAATAAAAATTTTCTGTTATTATGTTTTGCATTTTTAAAAAGCTTAAATGGAAGCTTTCTAAAGATGTGACTTATTGACTGTCAAACCGTTTTTATCGGGGACTTATCAGACATTAATGTAAATATATTGTTACGATTTTGTTAAATCAACCTCGATGATTTTCTGAATCCTTCGGGTACGATCTCTGGATTGTTAAATAAAAACTCGCCAACTCAATTTGCAGTAGCTTTCGTTATAAAGAATTTATCTAATGTCCTTTATTTACTCAGTAATTCACAATTCGATTACAAGGCACTTTACTAGCTACAATCACTTGCATAAACTTTCGCAGTTTACTTTACTTAAATGTTATCTCCAACGCGTTTACTTTACGACTCAAATAGTTTATTCCGCTATACTCTATGTTGACGGCAACGAGTTAACTTTGTAACTAACTTGACTTGGCAGCTGAGTGTCGCCCTTATATAGCTGTCGGCTGCTCGTAGACAAAAGTGTAGAATAATCGAGTTGTTCGCTATCGAAGGTTCTCATTCTATCGTTCTAGAATGTACTAGTTATCGGCTTCTCTCTTTCATCTGACATTCGCCTGGCACAATATCTATAAAATTTAGTCACTTAAGGTTGGTTTACATTCTTAGTTATTATGAAACAAAGTCTTCTTCGTGTCTGTCTGAAAGGATTTCCTTGCGCTTTTTAACTTTAACTTTGAGTTTCGATCACCGAATTCGTCCTATGAAAGCAGGTCACGTTTTTACTCTTTGTAGTATCCAAATTAAACATTCCGAAATAAGCAAATTTCGTTAATTTAAACGGTTTGACTTGAAATCGCTTCAATAATACCCGATCTGAATACTCGTGGTCAAAAAGTGATTCTATTGTGAATTGGTCACTACAAAACTTCGATCAAACTTCAAAAATTCAGTGGCACTTCGAAACGGAACATTAAATAAAATCGTGCATAAATGAAATATTTTTGGCTTTATTAATGTGTTCGTATATTTCGGCCAAAAAATATCAAAAAACGATTTATTTTTCTAAACTTGGTTGTATTCCGATGTTCAAGTTTTGCTAAAAGAGATCGCAAAAGCTTTAAACTATATACTTCCCCTATATGTACGAGTATTTGAATATATAATTTTTATGAAACATTTTCTGCTTTTCATTTGCCGTATGAAACAAAATAAAATTGTAATAAATGGTGCGATTTGCTAGATCTCTTGTACGAGAGTAATTTTGTTTGCCTAGATGAGTATTTAAAGTAGTTTTCTTATCCAGAAGAGATGAGGTTCGTATTGCTTAAAATTTAAAATATAGATAGCTGATTAATAATATGGTATTATATAATAAGAAGTTTAAAATTTTGTATTAGCAGAAGCTTAATAAGGACTTGTATCATTACAAAATACAAGAAAACACAAACAACGTGGTGCCGGGTCCACTAGTACTCAACAAAAAAAAAAAAACCGTTGAAAATATTAAGTTTGTCATAGTAAAGAGGTTTATTCTTCATTGTGTAAACTATCATAAAAAGCTCATCTATTAGGCGGCAATAAATCGTAATCGTATATATTCAAATTTTTTTTTAAGTAATTATTTTCAAATGCGTTATGTATGGTATAGGTTATTCGATTACTTTTATTCCCATTTCGAATGGACTGTACCGTCTGGTGACTATATTTGTACGCGCTGATTAACAACTTTATCTCCTTTTATCTGAATTAGCGACAGGTGTTATTTACAAATCATTTTCAATAATTTAGTAATTTGGTGCAATAACAACTATATGCCTCTTTAGGGTTTTGAGGGTTCAAAAAAAGTGATTTTTTTTATTGCATATTATGAAAGTTTAGTAACTCAAGAATGTTGTCTGTAAATAGGAAGTCAATCGGAGCAAAACTCACAAAGATATAGCTTTGGAAGTAGGCGGGTCTCGAACGACTACCTTCGCTACGAAAAACTTTAAACGCGTTTTTCTCAAATCGATGTTTTATGAGTCGGTGCACTCTGTATCTCAAAATCTATTCAACCGATCGTTCTCAAATTTTTTACAGTATTTTCTTACATAATTTATGAGGTAACCTTGTCAAGATTTTTTCGTTTTTGATTTTAATTTTTTTATTATTAACAACAATAGTCATGAATTTTGGCCAAAAAACGGTATTTTCACTTTCAAATCTTGTAAAAAGTTCAAAAATTAAAAAAAAAAATGGAAAAACGACAGGGATACCTAGAGCGACATAAAAATTGATGGAAAAACTTTGGTTATTTCATTTCAGATGATCCAGTGCTGAGGTATGACGTGCACCGCAAAATGTATTTTTTCTGATATTTTTCAACCAATATTTCACAGAATATAGTTCAATTACAATACTACTCTTTAATGTACAATAATCAGAAATAAATTTACTTTCACCGTACGCCCAAAAAAAAAACCTGTAAAAACCTGTTTTTTTCTGCCTTCAAAACCCTAAATCCCCAAACCCCCTCTAACAAATAATGAGAAAATGTGGTGGCTACTGAAATAGCAGCTATAACTTCTACCGTTCAACACTACTATTGCTGTAATTTTTTCACTATTTCCAAAAAAATATAGATGGTCTGAAACAGTTCCATAAAAAAACACAAAAACAATTCAACAGAAAAATGACCTGAAAAGTATCTAGCAAAACCATTATATCTTCAATCACCATCTTCCAGAATAGAAAAATATATTCTAGAACATGTCCATATGTAATTTTGTTGACTAATTTTTAATCTGCATATTAATTCTACTGTGCTGAAAGCTAGAGGCGCCCTTGTTTTTATAACGTGATGGTCAAAACAATTTAAAGACCCTTATATTACCAAAATACTGTTTAGGTCATTAGTGTGACCAATATTGGAGTACGGCTCAGTGGTGTGGAATCCTAATTATAATGTTCATTCTAAAAAAACTGAGTTCGTTCAAAAACAGTTTTTGTTGTTTGCTTTGCGTCACTTCCACTGGGCTACTAGCTGCTTAAAACTTATAAATCTACCTACGAGGTGTGACAATTAAGTAATGGGACTGATTATATTGCCGCGATTGTGGTAACACTCTGACCTTGAAATTCCCTTTCCCTTCTCCCGGCATCCTCCTTCTCTCCATTGATATATTTGCCATCGCTCCAGCTTGTTTAGTTCGCCTGCTGTGTCGAGTTAAGTAAACGTGTGTTCGTGGTGCTCGTCACGAAAATGGAAAAACGAAATCAAGAGCTACGCGTCGCGATAAAATTTTCTGCTAAAATTGTAAAAGTGCATGGTGATAGTCGTGTCCAAGTGTTTGACGCGGAAACCAAACGCCAAAGATCACAATGGTTGTATCCGCACGTCCCACACCCGTAAAAAGCTCGTATGAGCAAATTGACGGCGAAAACGATGATTATTGCCTTTTTGGATAGGCGTGGAATCGTCCACAAAGAATTTCTTCTCCCGAGGCAAACCGTAAATCAAGTCTTCTATCGCCAAGTACTCGAAAGATTCCAGGAACTAGTCAACAGGGTGCGCCCAGACTTCGCTCGTAACTAGAACCTACATCACGACAACGCGGCGTGCCACACCGCTCTCAGCGTGTCCCAGTATTTGACCTCTAAAGGGATCGTGTTGCAACAACTGCCTTATTCGCCCGATATGTCACCCTGTGACATTTTTGGTTCCCTAGAACAAAATCGGTCGTCAAAGGAACTCATTTTGAGTCGATTGAGGACATCCAGGCGGCCGTGACGACGGTACTCACGGACAACCCAGTCGGGGCATTCCAGAAATGCATGGAAAACGCCCTGGAATCGTTGTATACCTGCTCAAAGGGATTACTTTGAAGGGGGTAGCAGAGTTGTAGAATAATTTTGAGATATACGGTTTTTATGGAATCAGTATCATTACTTAATTGTCACACCTCGTACACTTCCTAGCCGTAGAATATTGCAGGGGGTAATTTTCTTGGTAAAACTTCTAAATGGATTGATTAGCAGTTCAGGTGAAGTAAATTTTAATGGCCCGATTATCAAGACAGTTTAGACCATTCTTTTTAAAATCTAGTAAAACAAAGTTTGAACTATATGAACCATTTTGCCGTATATCTCAAGATTTCAATTGTTATTCCAGCACATTTGATTTAACAGATTTACTTTTCGTAATGAAAAATTGTATAATAATTTTTATTAATAAATAATTCAATTAAATTTCGTTAATAGCTTAATTAAACGAATATATTTCAGCTGATGAATTTGTTTGTCTGTAGCTGAGCAGTTGTAAACCGGATGGCGCCCGTCGTTTCGAATGGGCGGAAGGAGAGTAACCGTTAGGCTTATTATTATTAGGTGATTACGATAACTAAACTGCGATAAC